TGAGAGAAATGAGTGTATCCCACGTGATTAAAAAAAAGGCACAACGTATTTTTCGAAGTGATCGCTTCGCGCGTTTTGATAAACCCAAGACTTATGTTTTACACGAGCAAGGAAGGTTTTTAGAGTCTGGACAAAGAAGAAAGAAAAACCAAAATGCGCGAATTCGTTCTATTTGGCATCTTATTATTCAGTGTGCTAAGTTCAAAACAAAGCCAATAGTTCCTGAACAAGGGAACAGTGGAGCACAAGCCAATCTTCCCTGACCAAGAATGACACGCATAAGTCGAGAAAGGTGGGGGGGGGGGGCGAGTTGGTAAGGCACGCAAGTGGCATTCAGGAGGTTGTGGCTTAAATCCCCATTGGCCTCATGTACCTTCCTGGGCATGCTTGGTGCCCGCCACCTAGAGATAGACCATTGGATCCCGCAATCGGCATTGGTCCTCGCCACACCACTCCTCGAAACTCATTTTCAAGAGTTGCTGCAGCGCCACACAGCCTCTTGAAATGGGGCAGTCAAGAGCAATCAGAGTGGATCTTGAAACCCTTTCAAGAGCAGCTCTTGAAAGATTGGAAACCCCAGCCTGCCTGCAACTGGTGCAATTTCAAGTGTCCTGGGCAGAACCCTTGAGGGACTATCGATTTTCAAGAGTTGTCAGGCCGTTATCGTGACGCCATGCGAAAACAACAAAGCCGTATGACTGTCGTTTTTCATCCTGTGTCCAACAGCATCGCCCTGTCCAGAGTGCTGTGTGGCGAGGAGCCGAAAACTCTTGAAAACCCAACTCTTGAGAACCTCTGACAGCTCTTGACATATTTCCCCGTTTCAAGAGTGGTGTGCCCAGGCCCATTGAGCAGAGTCTGCTGATGTTCGTAGGGGAGGGGACCTGATGGGAGGCACAGGGATTGGTCCTGTTGGCATGGTCCCAGAAGGCTGATGCTACAGGCACAGGGATTGGTCCTTTTGGCATGGTCCCTGATGCTACCGGCTGCACCCCCAGGCGGTATCGCCCACCTGCAGGTCCACTTGTAGGATCGTTCCAGCTTGTCGTATCGTTTCCACTTTTAGTATCGTTTTCACTTATACCGCTTCTGGCACGTCAAACAGAAACGTTCGGGAGCCGGCGGGGGGTCTGGAAGTTCCACTTGGAGTAACAGCCAATCACCACTGGGAGCAACAACCAATCACATTAGGCACAAAAAAAAAAAAAAAAAAAAAAGTTGCACATCAGGCATAAAGTTGCACGTCCAAACACCAAAAAAGCAGGAATAAACCCGGCCGCCGGATTCTCGGTCTGGCGCGGTGTATCTATCTTCAGCTAATCTGACGTCAGTTCGCAGAATAGCATGGGACCTAGGAGGAAAACTCAGCAATATGGCGGCGAACGCAGTGCGAAGTGGTGCACCGTGGGCTAGGTCCCACTTGCACGAATTTAGAGATACTGACCGCATAGCAAAGATCAACGGCCGAAATCTCCTAATTTGCGCAAGTGGGACCTTGGCCCGTGACTCACATGCAAATGTGAATGGCGTGGACGCATACGATCGCTAACGTGCGCGCTCGCCGTTTCTTTTTTTTTCTTTTTTTTTTTTCCTTTTTTTTTTTCCCTTTGTATATTCTTCTCTGAACTTCTGTTTCGATTTTTATTTTTTGGGTTCTTCTCTCTTTTCTTGCGCTGGGAAGGAAGGAAGGAATAGCTTGTACGGGCGCTGGCGGTTTCTCGGTTTTTTTTTTTTTTTCGGTTCTCCTTTTTTCTATAGAAAAAAAAGAGGACCATTTCCGTATTTATGCGTGTAATCCTTGCGCAGGAGAGGAAGGAAGCAACGACATGTACCGCTTACGCAGTCGTCGGCATCACTCCACATGATAGGACAAGCATGCATGAGCCGGCACGAACACCATGCACGACCCAGTAGCTGAACGCCATCTCCAATACAAATAAATAACTGAAACACGTTAACAGTGGTGGTTAACAGTGACTCCGCGAAGTGCATTCGTTCATGGAGAACGACTACGTGATAACTCCTCCTCACTGACGATTACGTGATATTAACTCCTCGTCACGGTCGACATCCCATCTACAAACACCATGCTTTCCCCGTCACGTCACCGTCGGAACGGCGCAGGGGCCATGCTAATTAATTAAATTAATCTTCTCTCGGTATCGCTCCAGTTTTAACGCATGCTCCTCCGCAGGCCGTTTCTCGAAGTATGTTGTCACGGTGGCTCACTGCACCGCTGTCGGTGTGTGGTTTGTCTGGCGTTTCACTGTCTCGTATTCAGGGCGTCCCACCTTCTCTGCTCTCCACGTGTATATCAAAAGGTTTCTCAATTTATTGGCGTCATCCGTGCGCAGGGGCCATGCATAGAAATAACGGTCGGTAGATAGTTGAGAGAAGGCAAAAAAAGGGAAAAAAAGGTAAAAAAAAAGAGAAAAAAAGAAAAAAAGCCTCTCTGGAACGGATCTCTCCAAAGCCTTGAGTATATTCTTTTTTTTTTTTTTTTTTTTTTTTTTTTTTTTTTTTTTTTTTTT